AGATGTGATGCATAGCATAATTTCATAGGTAATGAGCCTTAGACTTAAGAGATGCTATCTTGGTTTCTAGAACCATGCTGCCTAGACCATGCGAAAGAGTAAGACGAGGAAGGGGACGGCCTCCTATTAGAGATAGAGGACAAGGTGAGGCTGAAGAGAGCCCACCTCGAGAGGGATCAGAGACAGGGTTTGAATTAGAACCCTTATTGTATGTATGGTCGGAAAGCAGCCCTTAAGAGGGTAGACGTAGTAACCAAGGATAGAGTAAAGAATGATTAAGCAATAGTAGCCGACCAAACTCTAAGCGTAGTCCTAATAGTAGTAAAGATGACCGACTTCAACGTAGTACTAGGCATGGATTGACTAGTTGCAAACCATGCTATTATAGAATGTCGCAAAAAGGAAAAAAAAAAGGTGATATTCTCACCATCGGTGGGACCTAGCTTTAAATTTAAAGGCACAAATACCGGGGCTACCCCCAAAGGTAGTCTCGATGATGAAAGCAAAGAGATTAGTCCAACAAGGCGGTTGGACTATATTAGCATGTGCCGTAGATGTAAGAGGAAAAGAAAAGACCCTAGAAAACGTGTCAATCGTAAACGAGTTTTCAGATGTGTACCCAGATGACCTACTTGGAATACCCCCTTCCCGAGCGGTCGACTTCATCATCGAACTCGAGCCGGGAACTGGGCCTATTTCTAAAGCACCCTACCACATGGCGCTAGCAGAGTTGAAAGAACTCAAGGCACAATTACAAGACCTACAGGATAAAGGGTTCATTCGACCTAGCATATTCCCCTGGGTTGCACCAGTGTTGTTTGTTCAGAAGAAAGATGGATTGATGCGTTTGTGCATCGATTACAGAGAGTTAAATAAGAGAACCATAAAGAACAAATACCCTCTGCCTAGAATAGAAGACTTAATTCGATCAACTAAGAGAAGCAACGATATTTTCTGAGATAGATCTGCGGTCAGGATATCAGAATAAAGAGTAAAGAAAAAGACGCACCAAAGACAACATTTAGGAAAGGTATGATCGCTATAAGTTCGTGGTATGTCATTTAGCCTCACCAATGCTCCAGTTGTGTCAACAGAGTTAATGAACCGAGTGTTCAAGAACTGTCTAGACACTTTTGTGATCGTGCTCATTGATGACATCCGAGTGTACTCGAAAATAGACTTGGAACTCCAGGAACACCTCTAAAAAGTCCTAACCACCCTAAGAGAGAACAAGTTGTATACCAAGTTCTCAAAGTGTGAATTTTGGTTACGATAAGTCTCTTCCCTAGGTTACGTGGCGACAAGGACGAAGTATCCGTAGATCCTACTAAGGTCAAAGCGGTCATGAAATAGGAACGCCCAACTTCGACAACATCAGTATAGAGTTTCTTGAGACTAGTGAGATACTATCGAAGGTTCGTGTAGCACTTCGCTAGAATAGCCTCGCCTTTGACACAGCTAACGAGAAAAGGGGTACCATTTATATGAAATGATGCTTGTGAGGCAAGCTTCCAAAACATAAAAGAGAGATTGGTAACCGTCCCGGTACTCACGGTACCCGAGATCTCAGAAGAGTACGTAATCTATAGTGACGCCTTTGAAGAATGGACTAGGATGTGTGTTAATGCAACACAGTAAAGTTGTTGCATACGCGTCCCGTCAACTAAAATAATACGAAGATAATTACCCTACCAACGACCTGGAGTTGGCTGCTGTAGTGTTCACGCTGAAATTTGGTGACACTATCTGTATGGAGAGAAAAATTCAAAGTTTAACCGACCACAAGATTCTAAATATTTCTTCACCCAGAAAGAGTCAAATATGAGACAGAGAATGTGGTTAGAATTGGTGAAGGACTACGATGTAGATATCCAGTATCACCCTAGAAAAGCAAATGTGGTCGCAGACGCTTTGAGTAGAAAGGCGGCCCACTCTTCGGCCCTCATTATGAGGAAAGTAAGGGTACAAAGAAAATTCGAGGGAGCCAACATAGTTGTAGCGACCGAGAGAGTCATAGCACAACTGGCCCAACTTACAGGGCAACCTACACTTTGGCAAAGAATGGTGACCTCCGAACGAGAGAATCCAAACCTACAGAAAGTCTTAAGCCAGCTAGCTGAGAGTCTAGTAAATGGATTCTCGAAGACCTAAGATGAAGGACTATTGTATCAGGGAGGCCTATGTGTCCCAGAGAAGTTAAGGAAGGAGATACTAACGGAAGCTCACAACTCGCCATTTGCCATGCCCTCAGGAGGTACAAAAATGTACCAAGATTTTAAATAACATTTCTGATAGAAGAGCATGAATAGGGACATGGCCGAGTTTGTGAGCGAGTGCTTAGTTTGTCAACAAGTGAAAGTTCCTAAACAAAAGGCAGTGGGGTTGTTGTAGCCCCTAAGCATACAAGAGTGGAAGTGGGAAAACATAGCAATGGATTTCATAGTAGGTTTACCCAAAACGCCCAAAGGCTATACAGTGATCTGGGTAGTTGTCGATAGGTTGACCAAGTCGGCACACTTTCTACCTGGGAAGGTTGCATATACAGTTGACAATTGGGCACAACTGTACGTGAAAGAAATAGTAAGACTACATGGAGTCCCAGTGTCTATAGTGTCGGATCGGGATCCACGCTTTACGTCAGCGTTTTGGCGCGGACTCCAAAAAGCACTGGGTACCCGCCTCGACTTTAGTACCGCCTTTCACCCCCAAACAGATGGACAAACGGAGCGTTTAAACCAAATTCTAGAGGACATGTTACGCGCCTGCGTACTAGATTTTAAGGAAAGTTGGGATTCCAAACTCCATCGGATGGAATTCTCGTATAATAACAACTTCCAAGCCACTATTGGTATGACACCGTTTGAGGCCCTGTATGGGAAATAGTGTAGGTCCCCACTATGTTGGGACGAAGTAGACGAAAGAGAGTTAGTAGGACCCGAACTGGTTCGACTCACCAATGAGGCTGTCCAGAAAATTCGAGCAAGGATGTGTATCGCTCAAAGTAGACAGAAAAGCTACATCGATGTAATGCGTAGAAGCCTGGAATTTGAGATAGGGGACCCAGTATTCCTCAAGGTGGCACCTATGAAAGGTGTGTTAAGATTCGGGCATAAGGGCAAGTTAAGTCCTAAATTCATTGGACCATTTGAGATCCTAGAGCGAGTTGGTCCGGTAGCGTATAAGTTAGCCTTACCTCCAGCCCTCTCAGGAGTACATGATGTATTTCACGTGACGATGCTGAGGAAGTACATCACGGATCCTATCCACGTAATAGATTACGAACCACTCCAGCTCAATGAAGATCTGAGCTATGAGGAAAAACCAATAAGAATCTTAGCTAGAGAAGTAAAAACCTTACGCAACAGGAGCATTGCGTTCGTTAAGGTACTGTGGCAGAATCACCACAGTGAGGAAGCCACGTGGGAGCGTGAGGACGAAATAAGAGAGAAATACCCCGAGTTGTTACAAGAGTTTGAGACTTTCGAGGACGAAAGTTCTTTTTAGGGGTAGATAATGTAACGACCCGGGAAAGAAAGGAAAAAATATATATACATATAATAAAAATAAATAAATAAATAAATCAAATAAAGTAAAAAAAAAAAAAAACTCAGTCGCCGGAAAACCCGCGAGTTTTTCGGCGACCGCCGAGTTTCGCGGAACCCACGCGAAACCACGGCCACAGCACGCCCACCCTCAACCCACGACACCCTGCAAAGTTTCAGAGACCTGCAAAGGGAGAAAAGAGAGAAAATTTGGAGAGAGAGAGAGAGATTTCGGACAAACGTCGGCGAGTGTCCAGTTTCTCCGACGAGCCCTCAAACCACCCTCAAACTAACACCAAACGACCTGTTACCACCATAAGAGGGATCCCTAACGAAAGCACAATAACTCAGGGTGCGTTTTGTGTTATTTCCTAAGCGTCGTCGTCGGTAACCGAGGTCGGAAAGATTAGGTTTCTTAATCGATTCTTAGATCTATGGCTTTTAGGAGCTTTTAGGCCGCAAAACTCCCAGAAAAGAAAGAAGGACGACGAACAAAGAGGAAAAGGGAAGGAAGAGGACCGAAATCGGCAACGGAAACGCCGCGGGAAAGAGAGAGAAAGCTCGCCGGAAAATCGGCCGAAGTCGGGTAAGGAAGACGAGATCCACGGATCCGGGTCAACCCGAACCCAGAACCCGGGAGAGCCAGCCCGTTCCTCCCTCGGCCTCTACCTTCGGCCCAGCCCAACTTCAGCGGCCCAAACCTCAAACCGGCCCAGAAGCTACGGTTCAGTTGAACCAACCCAGACCAGACCCACGGTCCAATTGAGCCGGCCTGCAAACCAAACTCCTGCGGCCCAGCCCAGTAAGCCGAGGCCCAACGATTAGACTTGGCCCAGTAGCCCTCCACAGCCCACGACCCGAACCGGGCTGCGACCCGCGCTTCGACCCGACACTGCCGCCCGACGTGGCTTTCTCTGCTACTGCCACGTGTCACTCAACGGCGCAGGCAGTCCCTCGGCTCGGCTCGGCGCAAACGGCTCGGGCTCCCTCCGGCGACCCTCCGGCGGCTCCTCCGGCGGCTCCAGCGGCTGTTCGGCTCGGCTCACCTGTTTTCAGCCCGGTTTCCACTGTTCCGACCCTCCCGAATCTGTTTTCGGCCCCGATTAAGGTATCCGAGGCCGTTTCAGAGCCGTATTTCACATTTATTAAATTATAGGTAAATTAATTGTGAAATACTAACGGAAAGTGGTGGACGGTGTGATAGGAAACAAACCCCGAGGACGTAGGGAGCGACTCTCACGGAACGGGAGCTTACGTTTAGCGATTTAGGGAGTACTTCAGCCAAGGCCAACCAAGTAAGTGGCCTTACTATAGGATAGGCTAAATAATTGTATGAGTTATGATGATGTGTGGATTATGATGCTTGATGATATGTGCGGTATATACATATTTTGTTGAGTGACGCTTGATATGTTTGACGCACGTTGTGGCATTATGATGAGCATGATGATTGCATGATTTTTACCTTAATATGATGATGATGAGTGCCATATTGCATCATGTCGTTAGATCGACGTAGGACACAACCCTAAGAGCATGAGAATGATATTAATATAAATATCCACGAGTAAGCGTTACCTAGAGTAACAAAGAGATGAGACTAGAGGGTTGTGTCAGAAGAGACATTACGATGGATTTAGAGGGACCTCATGCATTTTGTATGTTCATAAGCATAGGGCTACTTCCCCTAGAGATGATGAGTGCGGACGCGCACCTTATGATGAGCGCGAAAGCGCACAGGTGCGAAAGCACACAGGTGCGAAAGCACACAGATGAGGGTGTTCATGAGGCGCATGACACTATGGGGTTCCGCTGACCTCCGGACGTCGCTACATATTAGCTTGACCAGAGGGTCCAGGGGGTGTGCGAGCGCCCTGGGGATTCACACTCGCACGTGTGAGTCGTGTGTAGGGAAGTACTACACATCCAATTTATCCGAGACTGGAGGCCACCCCTAAGATGATTAGAGATAGGTCCCTAAATCATATTGCATGTGTTTGCATTTGCATGGCCCCTATAGTGGGGCCACTTACTGAGTATTCTTTGAAATACTCAGGCCGTGTGCCACATCATTTTTCAGGTAAAGGCAAGGCGCACTTGTATGGAGGACGGCGGCATCGCGAGTAGAGACTGTGGCACGTGCATAGGGTAGATTCATATTTAAATTTCTAGTCTTAAGTTAGAATAGGTTGTTTTGCATTTCATTGTTTTAAATTATTTTGTATTTGTTTTTGTTTTCTCTAAATGTTCAGTATTTCATATTTAAACACGTAAGACCATGGCTGTGTTTTCTAGAGAAGAAGTTGTTTTAAACGTTTTTTTTTAAATTTACGTTATCAATTATGTTCATATAAGAGTTATTTCCGCATTATAGATGAGCATCAAATGTTAGTAGCGACTCTGAGTATGTGGAAATTTAGGGTCGTTACATTTGAGATGTACTTTCTATTCTCTGTACTCTCTCTTGTTGTACTTACCTGAAGTCATCAATAAAAAAATTCTTTTAGCTAGAGTTCTCCTTGCAATTTTCTCTATCCCATTCTTTGTGTTCATCTAGATCGAGCGTGTGCGTTGTTGTGCGATCCTAACAATTGGTATCAGAGCTAACAACTGGTATCGATCCCAACACTAGTAACCGTCACGGAAGCGCTATGCAAAGCATAATGATCGTTGTCCTGCAACTGGATCTACGCGTCCGTACCCTCGTGATGGGATAGGGGTATCCCCCCAAATGCATGAGGTCCCAAACTTTTCCATTTTCATTATCCTTTAATACAACCCCGCTAACATTATGTACATGTCATGTCATTTTTCATAATTTCATGTCATTCATATCATGCTGTATACACACAATTTAAGAGACCTAACATAACGTTCTATGCTTTTATCATAACATTTCATCATATACATATCATACCATGACATATTGCATCACAATGTATCATATCATAAACAAGTCATAACGTAAACACTGCGTAGTCATATCGTCTTCTAACTTATCATAGCCTTAACGTTCTTATACCTATCATAGACATATCATTACGTGAACGTACCTTAGTCATATCATCACAAGAACGTAACCTAACGCTATCGTTCTATCAATCCTAACGCTATCTTTCTATCAATCTATCACAACATATCCCTTTCTACCCGTAACCTTACCGTATTCTTTCATCAATCTCTCTTATCCATATCACTCCAGCATGTAACCTAACCTTAACGTTTCATGAATGTATTTTACTCCTATCGTTACATTTCGTTTGGTGCATCCTTCACGTATTCTATCTCAAGAATATCATTGAACACATCGTACCGTAATTATTATCAAACAATTCACATATTATAACATATACATAACAAATAAGAAGCATATCGATCCACAGACAATTCACACATATCAATATATATGACACGTGCAGAACCACGGGGCATGTGTCAACAACAAATATAACCATGTCGATAGTAAGGTCACTTACCTGGCTAGCTTAAGTCGTTGTCACAAATATATCTTTCTGGCCCAAGGATGGGTTGAGGAATTATAATTCTGGGAAGGGATGATTAGTGGAGAGAAGTGGGGAAATGTTGTTTTATTTTGTTTATTTATTTATTATTATTATTATTTTAACCATTTTTTTTATAATTATTTTTTATTTGTTTATTTGTTTATTTATTTTTGGGCTATTACAGAATCCTTCGGGCGCTCGCTTGGACCCTCTAATCAAAGCTAATTTGTAACGACGTCTAGAAGTCAGCAGAACTATTCAAACTTGATAGCTTGGCTAATTATCATAGGTTTAATGTATGGAGCACAGCTGAGTATAAACTATTTATTGGGCTGTTTTTCTTGAGGCTTCAATTCTAGCCCACAAAGGAGAGACTTAAAATATAAATATATCTAAGAATAGCTCAACAATCCTCACATTTGCGTAGATCAAGGTAGGTCTTCAACAAAGATACTCTAATTTTCCATACGTTCATAACTTCGCCTAAGAAATGACTTTAATGTTGGCTTGGTTGAATGACTTGTATGATGTACAAATGACGAATTTTTCATGATTTTTTGATGTGTTTTATGTTATGTTATGTTTACGCAATGATACAAGATGTACTATAATATGATTATGTCATGTTATGGAACTATGTTGTGATATTAATATTGTATGATGCACGAACCTCCACATCTTACACTACATAAACTACGATATCATGTCCGTCGTGATATTATGCACGCTCCTTTCCCTCCATAGCTTCTGCCAACGTGAGTGCAAGCTAGCCCAACAAGTAGACTTAGAGGATATGTATACGAGTCTGCTAGGTGGATCTATGTGTGCATGTGTAGAGAAATATTACACATTCAACTCTATCCAGACTGAAAAATAGAGATCGTTGCATGTATTTGCATTTTTCGACCGCAACAGTGTGATTATTTATTGAGTATTTTTTAAATTATCGAACCAAGTGCTATTTTTTTCAGGTGAAGGTAAGACAACCATGTAGTGTCACTATGTAGCCTATGAGAAGGAAGTTAAGATAGTTGCATTTTCTATTCAAGTTATAGCCCTTTGGTTAGATATTAAAATTAGTTACTTAACATTAATGTTTAAAATGTTAATGTTAGACAAAAAAATATCGAAGTCTCGATTTTATGGAAATGTCAATGTCAATAGATAATTTTGAAAAAAAATATATAAAACAAAAATAATAATAAATTAAATTAATAAAAAAAACCTATTTTACGATTTTAAATATATTAAAATACATACTATTAACTCGAGATAAAAGAGGCATATGATGATGTAATTAATATGAATTTTAAAGTTCAACAATTCAAAAATTATGAAAAGGTTGTAATGAATAATTATTAGAAAAAAAAATTAATTGCCGAACTTAGTGAACCAGGAATTATTCAACATCTTTTTCAAAATTAAAATTAAAGTTGGATCTATAATAATTAAATAAAGAAAGAAAGAAAAGAAAGAGAAAAATGTAGGAATTATCTCTATAATTGGCTTTTCATTGACCCTAACAGAGAGTATTGACAAGGACCATTATATTCTTTTTTCATTAATGTCCATATCTAATATTGTCAACTAAATCCACTTTTTAATCGTATTGTATAAATTGACCTTATATTTAACAAAAATATCAACACATAATATAAATAATAATCCTCTTCCTCGTTTAAAATAGTAAATTCTTACACGACGGTTTAAATGTTCTTATAAATTTTAAAAATGTTCCCATAGACTACGAGATATCACGTCGGGTTGAAAAAGAGAACGAAACATTTCTTAAAATAATGTGGAAACATGTCTCACAGACAAATTTTAAAATAGTGAGACTGCGGAGATACGTAATGGGCCAAACTAGATAATCCCTGTTAACGGGAGCTTAGGCTATTACAAATGGTATCAGAGCCAGACACCGAGCGGTGTGCCAACAAAGACGCTGGCCCCCAAGGGGGTGGATTGTGAGATCCCACGTCAGTTAGAGAGGAGAACGAAGCATTCTTTATAGGAACATGAAAACCTCTCCCTAACAAACATGTTTTAAAACCGTAAGGCTGACGGCGATACATAACGAGTCAAAACGGATAATATATACTAGCCGCGTACTTGGGCTATTACACTGACATCCATATTTTCATTAAATTGAGGTCTCTACATTTTTCGTCAACATTGTCATTTAAAACTTGAGTGTTAATATTACTCTCTTTAATATTTCGTCATGAAAATTTTAAAGTTAAAAGTTTATTATGATTTCATGCAAGTAACACAGGTGAAACAAGATTTGAGGTTTCAAACATATGCATCGTCAAATTTGTAATAAGACACAAGAGAACAGACAAACAACGTTGTTTATTTGCAAAAACTACGTACCATTATGTTACATTGCATTGTAATTAAACTATAAAAAGATGGTGGAATTCTGAGAAGATTTTCAAACTCATCATAACACGACGTATGACCAAACTAATTATTTAAACACGACATTGAAATGGAAAATTCAAGAAGAAACAAGAAAGAGAAATGAAAGGATTTGGTTTCAAGCAGGGCATTGGAAGCCAGACGGAACCTTCTTTCCACAGTAGTTCAAAAGCAAGCTGAGGGAAACTGAGAGGTCAATCTGAAGACCCAAGGCTCTGGCCTTCACCGCAGTGCAAAGGCACACAGCAGCTTCCAAGTCAACAAGGCCTTGGATTAGGGTGCAGCATGGGGATTTTGGTGGTGAGCCGATCACTACGTGCACTAGACCGTCCAGCAAGTCGGTGCAGACGCCGAGCTTGAGGGTGTCCTTGGGGCACTTGAGGAGTGATGGTGGCTGCCTTGAAGGGGTGGGCTTGTAGGGCTTGGGTGGTGGCGGTGGGCAAGGGACATAGGTGGAGCTGACCATAGTGAAGAAGAGGAGGTTGACGAGGAGGAGGAGGGCAATGGGTGCAGAGAGCTTGGAAGCCATTGGTGGAGAGATATTGAAGGGTTTGTAGGTTTCTGCGATGGCTTGTGAAGAATTATGAGAAGGGTTAGGGTTTTTATAGATGGCGTTTGGAAATTTGTTGTATTTTAACACAAAAATTCCTTGTAAATTGCTGGATACTAAACACCCAACTTTTTCATTTACTTTATTAAGTTTTGAGGAATTGATTGGAGAGAGATGAGTTTTCAATTAGTTTGTCAGTTTCTAAAATATTATAAAAATGTCAAGTGGCAAAATAGACCAAGTGATGTTTGATAATAAGATATCAAATATTTTTAAAAGAAATTACTGTTGTATGTATGGTTGGAAAATAATATAGGATAGAAGCCCTTCAAGACAAGTGGGTAATAGATGATAATCTAGAAATTATTTTTATCACAAGAAAAAGTAACAAATTATTTTTAGACAAGTGGGAAAATAATTATTTTACTGTGGTTGTCATGGCTTTCTAACACTGCATGGGTAACAAATTTTGATTTGTTAACTTATTTGATTCGGTTTTGTGTTTCTTGTATTTTATTTTTTATTCACTCATTCCCATTAAGGTTTAGCTTCTCCTTTAGTCTCAAGTTAACGTTTTATGTAACGATCTTAAATTTCTACATATTCAAAGTCGCTACTAAGTCTCATGCTTGTCTCTTAAATGCGGAATATAGCCCTTAGATACTCATCATAAATAACGGAAAATTTAAAACACATTCAGAACACTTCAAGCTACTATAACACATTGTCGGTCTTACGTTTTTCAAAACATAACGTTGGAGTTTAAAATTAAAACAAAAACAACTACAAATGAAATAATTTAAATAATGAAATAAAAGCGTTCTATACTGACCTAAGACTAAGAATTTAAACATGCAACTACCCTATGCACGTGCCACAGTATCTATCTCCGATGTCGTCG